CCCCAAAACCCCAAAACCCCAAAACCCCAAAACCCCGTGATAGGTGGTGCATGTAGAACGTAATAAAAATGGCGCACCAAAAGATAATATGGAAATTAATGATGTTTAGTCGACAGCGTTATTAGTTTGTGACTTCGATGGGGTATGATTGCAATATATCGAACATGTCGTCGAGGAAGTACATATCCATTCCGATATCAAATGTAAAGTGGGAATAGCCAGGGTATTCATTAAAGGCAACTCAGTTATCTCCAATCAGATCAGCGAACCATTGTCCATCTTCAAAATCTGCAGAGTTATCGCTCCTAGAATAGTACATTGCCACTGGAATCTGGTGATTCTCATAAGGAATTCTTGGGGGATCAGCCTGTCCGTAAGCAGCAAGGTTCCCTTCTTCTCCGAGATCGAAATAAGTTACTTCTCCAGTTCTAACACTTTGCATTGCGTGGGATAGCAAATGGGTTGCAAATCCTGCAAATCCTCTATAATTAATTTTTAGATAAGCAATTAATAGACGTTAAAGTTCTGAATATAACAAGTTTAAAGTCTTGCTTAGCCTAATCGACAGCTTTTACTTACCTGAATATGAAGTTTGTGTATGCATCTGGGTCGTCGTAATTAGGATCAACTTGTCCACCTATAAATTGTTGCATAAGAAGACAAAATTCAGGCATCATTCCGCAAGAGATTCCTCCTATCATTTGAACAGGGATATTTTGGGTAGTCATTGCAAAGACTCCAAAATCTTCAAGAGTAGCCAGTACTCCAGGAATACTCGCGATGAGCTGGAATCCGATGAACTGAGTGTGCGCAAAAGTCATCGTTGCAGCAACGTAATGTAATGACCTGATGCGTGGGTTGAAGAAGTCAGGGTGCAGAGCGATTGCATGTCCTAGTGATAAACCTCCTGACGAGTACCCATGGGCATGTACTTGAGGATAGCCTGTTTCATCGATGATATAAGTCAATGCTGCAACATGGTCTTGGGATATATCAATGAGATCAAAGTGCCAATATTCTTCAGGAGGAATATCAGGATTAACGTGTCCTCTCGAATTATCAGTTCCTCTTGGGTTTAGGAACCATAAATCATATCCTGCATCCACTATACGAAAACCTGGAGATTCTTCACTACCAAGTAAGAACAGCATTGCTTCACCTGTGCCTAGAGGAATATTTGCGTAGAAGGGTTCTCTGTTGGGGTCATCATCGCCGAGTCTAGCTCTGACTCTTTGGAGCATTGTCACATACCCATCTTCTGAGGTAATGAGGTGTTCTTCGTACTGGTACCCATATCTATCGCATAGTTCCTCCAGGTTTAGGTACCAGTCTCTATGATTTTGGCCAAGGGAAGGTCAGATTCAAAGGAAAAAGATGGCACCAAAAATTAGACACTTGTTCATTTATTTCAAATTATTCTAAAGCATCTGTTGTTTCAATATTTGAGTCATGGCTGGGGTTTTGGGGTTTTGGGGTTTTGGGG